GATACGTGCAGTACCCCACGATAGAAGTCGTTTTTATTGTACTTTATGCAATAAGTCTTATTCTTGCGGTTCCTCAAACGTGTATAGACACGGAGAGTCTGGGTGTCATAAAAAAAATAGTACTTCTAAAAGGACTTTCATGCCTCAATGGCTTGAGAATGATTATTTCAAGCCATGGTTGCATAAAGTCGATGGCGACCCTTATTCATGGTTCTGTTCGGTTTGCAACAAACAATTTTCATGTCGATTATCGACGATTTATAATCATGCAGATTCTCAGTGTCACATTGAGAATTATAAAAAGAGTAACGATAACCCAGACAATTTGAATAATAATTTTACGACGCAATCCGAAAAATCGCCTCTGTCGTTGGATGAAAGGATAAAATCCGCGGAAATCAAATTTGCCAAATTAATAGCCGAAAAAAATATTCCGTATCGAACCCCAGAGACGATTCTTGAAGTTTTCAAAGACATTGGGCAAGATCCTGATGTCTTGAAACATATGTCGTTCGGTCGAACAAAGTGTTCAAATATTATATCAAACGTTTTGTATCCTTTAGAAACAAAACGTATTACTAGTGTTTTACAAAACACTAAATTTTCTATTTATATTGACGAAACATCCGACTCGACCTACGAGAAATGGATGACGTTTCTTGTTCGTTATGTTGCACCCGAGACTTTGGATGTTCGAACGGAATTGGTAGAATTATTACATCTTGATGCCAGAAATTGTGGCGCAGATAATTTATTTAAAACATTTGAAATTGCCATGATAGAAAGAGAAATTCCGTTCGAAAATATTGTCGCGTTGTCATGTGACAACGCTGCTGTCATGACAGGGCGACACTCGTCCTTTATGACAAAGCTTGCAACAAAATGCAGGGACAAATTTTTGACTGTCTGCTGTCCGTGTCATCTGTCTGCAATGGTAGTGCGCGAAGCGTGCAATACCATTCCAGACATATGCGAGGAGTTGTTACGAAAAGTAGCAACTTTCATATACAGTAGTCCCAAATGTTCGGCTATATTCCGCGAATTTCAGCAATGTTTTCAAACAACCGACAGAAAAATTTTAAAATTGTGTTCTACGCGATGGTTATCGCATTATACATCCGTAGTTACACTTTTAGAGAATTGGGACTCTGTATTGCTTTTTTTGCAAGAATTGACAATAAGCGAGAAATCAGAGTCCGGGGAACGTCTGTTAATCTCGATGCAAAATCCAGAGGCCAAAGCATATCTTTATTTTCTAAATTACGCTCTTGAGTTTTTTTATAAATTTAGCATTTTCTTTCAAACTCAAGAGACAAGAATTCATTTGCTTCAAAAGACTGCGGCAGAACTTTTATGCGATATATTACGCAATTTTCTGAAACCGCAGCTTTTGAAACACATGGATTTAGTAAGAATGATGAATTTTTCTGTAGTCGAAAATCAACTCCCATTTAATAGTATAAATTTAGGAACAGAGTGTCTTAATTTTCTGCATCAACTGAATGCAGAAGGCAAGTCCGACATCGTAGAAACCGTAAGGAAAAATTGTTTAATGTTTTATATTACAGCTGCAAACGAAATTCGTCGTCGATTGGCAATCGATGACGAATTTCTTAGGATGTTGTATGTTTTTGAACCAACTTTTATATTAAATGATACAAATAGAGACATTTCCTTCAGAAATGTTCTCTTAATCGCTAAGAAATTCGGCGGTTTCGACGAAGAAGGACTGCAAACAGAATGGTCAGTATTGCCTTTGGAATTTACAACGAAAGGTAGACAGACGCTTATCGAGATGAAATTCGATGGTTTCTGGAAAACAATTTTATTAACGCGAAATTTGGACTATAAAATTAAATTTCCTGAATTGATGAAATTAGTAAATACAATTAGATCACTTCCAAATTCCAATGCCGATGCAGAAAGATTGTTTTCCATGTTACCTGACATAAAATCAAAGAAACGGAATAAACTTTCTTCGGTCAGCGTCAACTCTATTTGCGTTGTGAAATCTTCGTTAAAGGCGCAGAGGGAAAACTCTCAACCCATGGAGGTAGATGACGATCATCTAGCTCTATTGTATTCCAAAAATTTATATCATAGATTTGCTAAGAAGCAAAAGTGTAATTTAAGATTAAACGCAACATATGACAATAACTTTGAGAATTTTCCCGCTACGTCATATGACGAAAATTAAGGTACCGATTTACTACAGAGCTTTTCTCTAGAGAGATTTTTCTCTCCAGAGAAAAGCTCTTTAGTAAATTCGTACTATTAGGCTGCAATGACAGTATAAACGTTTTCATGCGACGTCGCGGTAGACTGGTCTTGTTACGTCAACGGTACCGCGACGTAGGCGCAACAAGGTGTGATGCATGTATGTGCCATAACGTCACGCGAAAGCGCTTACACTGCAACCGCAGTCTTGTTAGTGATGTCCAAAATATTTTTTTTTGGACATCGCTAATATGTAAATAGTCGTTCAATTTGTCTCGCGTTGTTACTTTTTTTACGTATTTCGCTTGCTGTAAATACTATTCTGCTTGCTCTAACTATCATTTTTTTCTTCATTTATTTGCTTATATTTTGCCGTATATTTTTAGTTAGTGAAATTGCTTGCTGTAGATAGTGTGGCTATGACGTAGAATGTCGCGCCTTGTTACACTTACGTCACGGTACCGTAAGAGCAACAATGCACGACATAACGTGCCAGCTTAATCGCAAACGTCCTATCCCGACATCCCATCCTTTGGAAATGTAAACAATTATATCATTTTTCCATTTTTATGGCTCGTGTGTATATTAATAAAAATTAATGCATTCACGAGTTAGTTTTTCATTATATTGTAATTTCATTACATTAATAAAAACATTTTAATATATGGCATGTGATAATGTTACAAAGAAATAACAATTTTTTACATTTCCCTCCTGATGGAAGTGACCACCACCTTCCCGTGGTTTCCATTGAACGGTAGCGTGCACGTTATTGTTTTACCTATCGTTACAATTATTTTGTTATGTAAAGTTAAGTTTAATATATAACATTTGATTGTGTGTAACAATTTGATACGGTTATTAAAAAACATAGTGGGAAAAGTCAGTAGTAATCTATTTCTGTAGCGTGCACGGTACTGGCTAAGAGTGGTTTTTCATTTTAATTAACCCTTAATTAACCCTTTACGAGTAAGACTGCTTTGAACAACATTATTCTAAAATATTTGTGGAATACGTTTTTTATGTGGTTTAGGTAGGTATGCAAGGCATAAGATTTCGTTTAATTTTTCCTTTCTAGAAAAGATAGGAGAAAAATATATTTGATCTTAATCCTTCTTAAGATTTATATAAATCGCTTTAAAAATTTGTTACAAATGATGTGTATGTATCGAAATAATTATAAAACTAAAAACGTATAATCATCATTATATGGGAGCTGATCACGCTTAAAATATAATGAGACCTTAAAACGAGAACATAAAACTTAAATGTTGTTTCTTTGAAATTCGTTCAGGAACAAAAAAAAAATATGTTTTTTTGTAGTAGTCACAATATGATGAGGGGGTCCTAAAACGTGTATTTCCGCTAAAAAAAAATTTCGAAATTTTTTTTCCATTATGATACTTTATTTTCCTTATACCTTACATAGGTCGGAAAGTAAAAATGCTGGGACAGTCGAGGCTTGGAATCGTATGCCACTTATCGCGAGGTCGTATTTCAGTTGTTTTGTCTTTTACAAGAGCAAGAAGGAAAGGCTCACACTAGCGTTCTTTATGGATTTCCCGAAGTTGTGCGAAGTGCCGAGCTCACGTACACGTGGCTCGTGCGGTAGTGTATGCCTGCTATCCCCACCACTCCATTAGACGCTAAGGAAGTTCGTCGTCACTGTTGTCGATTTCGATGCACTCAATTATGCCAGACAGTGTGGCCACACTGATGCCAGATCTGGCCACACTGCGTGGAGTCACTTGAACGATGCATGCCTTTGATCGCTTATTGCATTAGTAGATAGGATATAAATTGTATATCGTATTTGGTGTCATTTTAATCAGAAAAGTGTCACGAATATGTTGATGAAGTTTGAAAAAAGGAAGAACAAAAATAAAGATGAATTTCGTTGTTGATTTAATATTCTATATGTACTAGTTAAATCGTGTCATAACTTCAGTACATATATGTATGTATCGCTCGGTTATTGCAGTAGTGATATGACTCAAAAAGATACAACTTGCGAATTTGAACTGTTTAACCAACTTATTTTACTCTGAGTTGTCTCACGATTTTAGCAAATAAATGATAGGTCAATTAAATTACAATTCCTTTTTTCAGATGAGGTAGACACTTTAAAGAAAGGACAAATGTATATTATAATTTATGAAAAACAATAATAAAAATTATGTTGTACTTGATCTTAGTTAAATCAGAAAACTGTCACAGACATGTTAATAGTTTCAAAACAAGAGAAGAAAAACTAAAAAATTTGTATCATTGCACTAGTGTTGCCTTAGTAATTTGAACCCGTATCGTATGGCAATGTTCGAGGACCGACCGTCAAGCGTGCCGCTATGTTGGGGAACCGCCCATAGGAAGGCACACTCGCCGGTACAGCAAATGCTGGGTTCTAACGGTACGCAGTGGGAATAAGTAGAGGGGATACGATATTTGCTTATATCGTGGACGAGTTCTGAGCTTATGTAGTGAAAATACTGTATACATTATAATACGCTGGTTCGTTTGAATCTCGCTCGCTTGAATCGCGCACTCGATAGTGATTAATCGAGTTCCATTCAATTTCCGTCGCGGCGCTGTGTGTACCAAACCCATTTCACGCGATAGCGTAACAGTATGAATATTTCTGAAAGTCCCTAGATATTCTTGTTTTGGTAAAAGTCTGATATTAGGCGATCATTCAGCCGCGTCGGCTGCTTCGGGAAGATTCGGTAGTGACACGACCAATCAGGATCACTTATAGTTTGCGTTCAATGCAGTTGATAAATGGAGGATTTGTGTTTGTCAAGGTAGTTTTGTTTACGCGTAAATTTTCATTCGGTATCAACTTCTCGTACGTTTCGTGTGTGCTAAGAGGTAGATGAAGGTGCGTAACAGTTTCCTTCAGGTTTCGTATTAAATTTAAAAGGTAGGAAATATATCGACTCGGAGAAATGTATTGTAACGCCAAGGCTTGTCGTGCACAACATATGAACTGTGTAGAGAAGAATGATCGTTCAAGTTAAAAAAATAGAGGCTACTGTACGAACCATCACTTAAAATTCACACCAACAGCTTCTAAATCTCTTTTAGTTAATTTATTTTTAAGAAACAACGAGGTTACCTTCGGGTTATGAGGCACTCGAATAATCTACACTTTTACTTCATAGGTTATGGAACTACTGACTTAGGTTTATTAAATGATACATATGAATCGAATAATCCATTTTCGAGCAATATTATGCTTTTACTTGAAATTGTGATATAGTAAACATTGTTTATAATACATATATATATTTTTATTATGTTAGCATAATGTAGATAAAATGTAAATAACATACACAGTTCTCTATTTTTCTGTTTAAATAATCAAACGTTTCTGACAGTAATATGTTTACAGAGGATATTAAGGGAGATTATTTAATGAACAAATGTTTCTGTAATTTTTATATCCTTTATGCACTTTTATATAATTTCTTCTACGACTTACCTTGGTAGTATTCTAATTTTGTGAATCTTCATGAATGCAATGAAAAAATCGAATATTCTAAAGGAATCTTTTGTTTTGTGAAATACTTGTATTTAGTATAGGCATTTTTTTTAAACGATCTTAGTTTATGTTGTAATTGGTATACTATAGTATTATAAAATTACATAGGTTAATTTTGTTTCTACCGTATTAATTTTAATATAGAATATAGTCTACGTATAATTGTAATATCAATTATTTAAGATTTATTTCTTTCTTCCAGGATTTAAGATGTCCCGCATTCACAAGGACAAGTATGAAAATTCAAACCCACGTCGTACTCACACTTTCATGTCCACAGAGGATGCAAACTCTGGGAAGAAATCTTATTGGCCGGAGTTGGAGATAACAGGCAGTATAAGAAATTTGAGCCCAAACTTATGGCAGTTAACTCATTTGACAGCTTTATATCTCAACGACAATAGTTTGCAAAGGATACCATCCGAGATTGGACGGTTAGTCAATTTGCGAACTTTAGATCTCAGTAGCAACAAATTACGCAGTTTACCAGCAGAACTGGGGGACCTCATCTACCTCAGGTATGGATTTTCATCTTTATTAATTAATGTGATTATTTTAACATTTCTCAAATTAGATCGAATATCAACGTTATTATGTTAAACTCCGTTTGTGTTTCAGAGAATTGTTATTGAATCAAAATTACCTTCGCGTGTTACCGTACGAACTAGGAAAGTTGTTCCAGTTACAAGTGCTTGGACTTCAGGGCAATCCACTCAGCAAGGAAGTACTGTCACTGTATGGAGAACCTTCTGGAACCCACAAGCTGCTATCGTATATGCTGGACAACTTACAAGGTACACAGATGAAGTTTCTTTTTATTTAATCAATTATTTATTAATGCTTTATGGACGATCGACACGTATATGCGTTCAGTGTAAACTATTAATGTGGCTTTACACTACTTTGTCTGTGAAGGATTGAAGGACGTTCAACGTCAAAAGATTACTTCTGACAATTTATTAATATGTACTTCCTCAGCAAGCAAAAATAACCGGCGACATTTCAATTTGTTAGTTCGAATATGCGATTCACTTTTTTCGTTCGTGTTATGCTCGCGTGGCGCGCGTATCGATACTAAGAACAGTCTTTTCTCTCGCTACAGGCCCAAATTCTTATGTCGTTTGGACGTAGAACAGTGAGAAAATGTTTGGTATTGTTTACATTTTCGGAACCAGATAGAATGCTCTTATAAATGACTTATAAGAACGTATGCTAAATGAAATTTTAATAAAGTTTATTAAAAAGCAAGTAGGGAGACTATTTTGGATCTTAGATGACTTTCATTATACAAAAATTTTGAACACGGGCAAGTGTATTGCTAAGCACCCGACCACCGATACCAAAACTACCAATGACGCTAACGATTACGTAGAATGGCGCATCTGGCGTGGCCATTTGTGTAAGTAGATGCCAATCTTTGGTCCGGATACCGAGGTATGGCAAATCGAGATGCATGGGGATATTGGTATCTAATAAACTAAATTGGTGTACCAATAAAGTAAAACTACGTTTAAAGTAAGCTCGATCAGAGTCATCTGGTGGCGTGTTGAGTAAATGCAACAAGAGCACATATTGATCGATTATGACTGTAACTATATTAAACATTTCCGGTCATCTCGCGTGGTACTCTGAAGTTAATCTCACAGTATTTTGAACAAAAAGAGGCCCTTAATTTTTTGATTAGAAATTAAATACTATTAATATTATTGTTATGTAACATTGTCGCTATTCTCTGATGGCTCGCCATAGTAGCTATTGTTGAGATCCTTAATCATTTTTAGATCAACAATTCTTTTTAGTTACATCCTGTATGGTGATTTTTAACCGCGTAGATTTAGTCACCATAGTATTAAAGCGTTTGTTTTAAGGATCCTGCAAATGCATATTTTTTTTAAAATGAAATTTTATATATTTATTTACTTGACTCGATTCCCCAGATCATTCTGTATAAAAAATCATTAGGGCAGTATGTTCAAAAAATCAATATTTCGTGAGATATTTCATATTTTTACTCCGTTTCCGGATTGTACGCACTTCATTGTTTTTTAATGTTTTTTATAACAGGATTAAACTGGTCACTATTTATATTAGAACAGTGCAGTTTAATACGTTCTTTTAGGTCTTCTGCAATAACAAATGATAGTGAATGTACTTTATCTCTGAGGTAACTCTGTGAAAAAGAGTCTAAAGGATTCAGATCTGGAGACCGTGCAGACCATGGCGTTGTATTATGCGTTGCAAACTATATCTCACGAAATATGGATTTTTTTAACAAGGTGCTCTAATGTTTTTTTACGCAGAATGACCTGGGGAATCGATTCGAATAAATAAAAATATGCAATTTCATTAAAAAGTTGCACTTATGTAAAAAATAAAGTAGATAAATAGGCACTATTGTACTATTCAACTTTTCCCTCTACAGTTTATTTCTATCTCTTGTGAATTGCATATGTATTGATACTGATTCCTGATACTCGAAATGTATTTTTGAAGATTCGAAAGATTCGAATAAATATCATTTGATCGTTACAAAGGACTGCACACAGTCCATCGTTGGGAACAAGTAGGCCCGACTTATAAAGACCGTTTAATGTCTTAGAGAGCATATTAGTGCCCACATAATTTAATTTCTTTTAACTTCGGGGTCAAGTGGGTGTGTCGGGGCGCAGGCGTGTTGGGTGTACGGGTGGTTACGTTAGGGAATGGTTAAAGGAACGTGGGGGGATTGCAAAAGGGGCTAGAAGGGAAGGCGTACTTCTAGCCATTGTGTTTCACGATTTTTGCCAGTTACCCAATTGCCTGAAAGGTCTCGGGTGTACCATTCCGTTTATCCATTGTTCTCCGACTTTTACTATTCGGCACCACGGTACCGTGCCAGTCATTTCCCCTCTTCCAGAGGATATTCCCTTGTCATCATCGTTCCCCCCGCCTTCTTTGTTTTGTCTTCCTTTATATCAGGGGTTGTTCCTCCCGTATCTCGAATCACGCTCAAACTACGCACGTTTGTTCCTCTACGAAAGGGCATCGACTTAGAAACTTGCTTCGATTGCCGTTCTCGATTTCAAGCGCTTTTCCTTTTGAACTTCTCTACACGAGAATCTCGATGCTATCAGTCATTCCTGAAGTCTATAGATCGTTTCTGCTCTTAATACTAGATTTACGGGAACACTTCGATTTCACTTTCAGAGTTCATAGCTAAAATTACACAGCTCTAATAAAAATATGTATTTCGAAGGAATGGTGTTTATCCCAACCGGATAAATCACTTTCGTGTAAAATATACAGGATGTTCGGCCACCCCTGGGAAAAATTTTAATGGGAGATTCTAGAGACTAAAATAAGACGAATTGAGTTTTTTTAGACGAATTGAAGACGCTAATTGAGGCTTCGATAAAAAGTTATTACAAAATTTCAAATCATTTTAAAAAAATTATTTTCAGTTTCAGGGGTCAATTACAATCATTTTTTTATTAATAGACATACCTTCGAAATCCTACGCACTTTCGAGAAAAAAATTCAAGTAGGTGGACACATTTTTCGACAAAATTAAAAAATTTCAAATCGTTCTGTAAAAAATATTTTTGGTTGCGAGGGTCAATTACAATCATTTTTGGTGAATACACATACCCCCGAAATCCTACGTACTTTCAAGAAAAAAATTCTTTGCTGAAAATATACCGTGTAGCCCGAAGTGTTTCTATAACTTTTTAACGAAGCCTCGATCAACAAATTAGTATCCTTGATTTTCGTCTTATTTTGGCCTCTAGAATCTCCCATTCAAATTTTTCCCCATGGGTGGCCGAACACTCTGTATATTGTGTTATGGGTGTCTAAAAGTTCGTCAGATTTTCTCGTCATTTTCTTTCATCGAAAGCAATTAAACATCACTTTTTAATGAAACGATTTATATTCCTAAACTGCGTATTAAACGGATCACGTTGTGTCGATTTGCATAGATCGAAAATCCGCTTCAGCTTTAACAATGTTTCTTTAGTTGCCTCAACAGCAAGAGGCCTTACGTTTTGCGTCAATTTACGACTATTTGCGGTTGTCTTTCTCATTATTGCCCTGTTCAATTTCTTTAATCATTAACTGTAGCAATTTTCTATTACCTTGTCTTGATAGTTTATGGTACTGTTTTCCTGGTCTCATCATGTATACCGGGAAATCTTTATATGTCGAATACCTAATACGCCAATATTATCAATCACCGTTACCGTTATTGTTATCGTCTGTTTCGCGAAGTTCATCCGGTTGTTCGACTTCTCTGTGCGAGCTGTTGAAATTCATCTCCATTTACCGCGAATTTGATTGCCCATCTTGTACGAAAGCTAGCTTAGGTACAATAGATTCCAAGATGGCTGATGAAACATAGACGACGAAAGCTAGGTTAGGTACAATAGATTCCAAGATGGCTGATGAGACATGAACGACGAAAGCTAGGTTAGGTACAATAGATTCCAAGATGGCTGATCAAAATTTTTTTCAATTTCTTGCATCGTACTTTGTACGATATTGTTTGAAAAATTAGGTTACCCCAAATTTTTTTTCATTAACTCCTTCAGGGACTGAAATTTTGCAATAAAAATTATTCATTAGTTTATAAACATTCATTCACCAATTTTAGTGGTTACAATATTAAAAATAATCTACAAACAGTATAGGTTTCGGAGGACGCAGGGTGTATAGATGTACGACATAGTGTTCGTTTAAATATAAATGAGAAAAATGTTAAACACGGATTAGGAATTGCTACACGATTCAGTAAAATTTTATCGCGTGCCGTTCCGTCCGCTATCGCCGCCCCAGCACATACTTAACGGATTATACGACATTTTTTCTGCCGTGATGACGAAGCTGTCTTCGAATACTTGTTTTTCATGCCTGGGATATAATTTATGTAATCATTATGCTCCTCGGTTATATACGGATGCACAAAGAGGAATAATTTGACTTTACGTTTCTTTGATTTTATTTCATTTTTCGGAGCGTACGAGGCAATTATAAATATTTAAATCTTAGTTTCGGATTCTCTTTAGGAAAATTCTGTTCAATCTAGAATAAAAAATTGGAGTAATAAATATAAATTACTAAAAATATTAAACGTAAATAGATTGCAGATTTATTCGGACTAGTATTACAAATATATGCAAAATGTAGAATATATTTTATACATTGATTTTATAACAAATTTCACTTCGAGTGCATATATTTTGAAAGTGTTGTTACATATCATTCATGTATGGGGCTAAAACGTTTGGTGACTTGGGTGTTGGCCCGAGCATCTAGCGTACAACCCTTTGAACGGGGTTGACTCATGCCGTATGCGAGCACCCGGCCCAATTTCCACTACCTTATATGGTAATGCCCCGCCTTCGTACAGAGCATTTTCAACTATATAAGGGCCGCGTTTCCTCACTCTTTGAGCTCAGTTTTTCTAAAACTCTCGACACGACGTTACTTTGACACTCAGGGCAAGATCGGGCTATGATCCCCATCAAGCAACGAACGTACCTACCTTAGCGGTTTTATCAGTGAGTGTCCATTAAACTAATCGAGAGGTAGCTCCCGCGAACGCGCCGCGTAAAAGCCGATACAGATCTTTCGCCGTCAAGGCAACTTAGCAATTGTACCAGTTTTGTAAATCCATCACTATACTTGAGCATCGTTAAGAATATATATTCAAGTAGTATTCCTCACGTGTGTTATTCACTCAATTCAACCCTGAACCATATTAACTGTAAGGCTAGAGGTATCTCACGAATCCGGTACACCTTTACCGCTCGAGTTGTAC